CGGCATGTGAAAGCCGGGGGGAGGCGTTTCCGCTCCATTCGTGCCCTGGCTCGCTACTCCCTGTGTCTCCCCCCTGCCCTTGTGGGAGTACAGTCATCCCGCATAACAGGGATGGGCAATCTTCCGAAATGTACCCTCGCATCCTTGCCCCTCGTCCGCCCATCAGCGACTTTCCCTGGCCAGCCAGCCTCGTTCGAAAGCCGTTGACATGGCCCTCCAAGGCCCTTGCATCCTAATCGCCCATCTTTAGGATACGGGTCGATTGTATCCTTCCGATGGTTCGATGCAGCTCTAGTCAGAACTGGTGCCCACACATGCACCGTTGCGGGAGCCAGGACTCCAGGAAGGGTGGGGGTGGGGGGGTGGGGGGGGGGTTAGGGGCGTCTCAAGGGCGGTTAGGGGGGGGGGTTCTGGTGAGGGTGTTGTTGAGCGGGGGGTCCTTGAGGGTGTTGCTGAGGGGGGGGGGCCTTGAAATTTACGAAAAATCCATGCCCAGAGGCCTCAGAAGGCTGGCTGTGTCAGGGGGGGTCGGGGGAGGGTCGGGGGGGTCCCGGCGAGGATTTTGCTGAGTGGGGGGGCTGCAAACCTACGAGAGACCCTTGCCCAGAGCATCTCAGAAGGCTGGCTGTCTCAGGTGGGGTCCGAGGGGTCCCGGCGAGAAATTGTGCTAAGGGGGGGAGGCCTTGAGACCTACGCAGAATCCATGCCCAGAGGCCTCAAGAGGCTGGCTGTGTCAGGCGGGGTCGGGGGGTCCCGGCGATGATTTTGCTGAGCGGGAGAGCCTTGAAACGTACGGAAAACCTAGCCCAGAGCCCCTCAGGAGGCTGGCTGCGTCAGGGGGGCTCGGGGGGGTCGGGAAGGGGTCGGGGGGGGGTCGGGGGCGGGTCGGGGGGGGGTCCCGGCGAGGATTTTGCCAGATGGGGGGCCTTCAGATCTACGAAAAAAACCAATATGCCCAGAGCATCTCAGAGGCGGCTGTCTCAGTGGGGTCGTGGGGGCCTCGGGAAGGTTCCCGGGAGGTGAGGATTTTGCTGATGGGGGGGGCCTTCAGATCTACGAAAAACCAATGCCCAGAGCTTCTCGGGAGGCTGGGTGTGTCAGGGGGGGTCGGGGGGGTCTCGGGGAGGAATTTGCTGGTGGGGGGGCCTCCTCAGGTGGCTGGCAGTGTCAGCGGGGGTCGGGGGGGTCCTGGCGAGGATTTTGCCGTTGGGGGGGTTTTTAAAACATGCGAAAAATTCATGCCCAGAGGCCTCAGGAGGCTGGCTGTGTCAGGGAAGGTGGGGGGGTGGGTGACAGGGGGGTCCCGGCGAGGATTTTGCTGAGTGGGGGGGCCTTGAAACCTACGAAAAACCAGTGCCCAGAGAGTCTCAGGAGGCTGGCTGTGTCAGGCGGGGTCGGGGGGGTCCCGGCGGAGATTTTGCTGAGGGGGGGGCCGTGAAACCTAACAAAAACCGATGCCCAGAGGCCTCAGGTTGCTGGCTGTGTCAGGGGGGGTCGGGGGAGGGTCGGGGGAGTCTCGGCGAGGATTTTGCTGAGTGGGGAGGTTTCAAACCTACGAGAAACCCATGCCCAGAGCATCTCAGGAGGCTGGCTGTCTCAGGTGGGGTCGGAGGGGTCCCGGCGAGAAATTTTGCTAAGGGGGGGAGGCCTTGAGACCTACGCAGAATCCATGCCCAGAGGCCTCAAGAGGCTAGCTGTGTCAGGGGGGGTCGGGGGGTCCCGGCGAGGATTTTACTGAGTGGGGTGCCGTGAAAAACGCAACGAAAAATTTACCCCAGAGCACCTCTCGGAGGCTTGGCTGTGTCCAGGGGGGCGTGGGGTGGGGGTCGAAAAAAAAAAAGAAAAAAAAAAGGGGGTTGTCGGGGTCCCCGCGGCGAGGATTTTTGCTGAGTGGGGGGGCCTTCAGATCTACAGAACAACCCATGCCCAGATTTCTCAGAAGCTGGGGTGTGTCAGGGGGGTCTGAGGGGGATCTCGTGCAGATGATGAAAATTTTTGGCCTGGGGGTGGGGCCTTGAAACATACGACAACCTTAATTGCCCAGAGGCTCAGGAGGCTTGGCTGTGTCCGTGGGCGGGCTACGCGCCCGCGAGATTGTTGCCTGGGTTGGGGGCGTTTGAGACTTACGAAAATACCCAAGCCCAGAAGCCTAGGAGGCTGGCTGTGTCAGGGAGTGTCGGAAGGGTCCCGGCGAGGATTTTGCTGACTGGGGGTGCTTTGAAACATGCGCAAAATCTTATGCCCAGAGGCTTCTGGTGGCGGGCACTGTCAGCGGGGTTCGGGAGGGTCCGGGCGAGGATTTTGCTGAGGGGGGGGGCCTTGAAATTTTCGAAAAAATCCATGCCCAGAGGCCTCAGAAGGCTGGCTGTGTCAGGGGGGGTCGGGGGAGGGTCGGGGAGGTCTCGGCGAGGATTTTGCTGAGTGGGGGGGGCTTCGAACTTATGAGAAACCCTTGCCCAGAGCATCTCAGGAGGCTGGCTGTCTCAGGTGGGGTCGGAGG